AAAGTTTGCATTTTTTGCCATATGCTTAAAAAAAAAACAAGGATGGTTATCAGAGCATCAGGATTATGGGTCATTTTGTTTCTTTCTGCAATTTTTCTGTGTTTCAAAAAGCGTATATTTTAGAAAAAAGTTCTGTTGGTTTATTTTTTTGCTATAGATAAATTCAAACACTGAACTTTGTCCATTCCTGCAGGATTAATGTTAGCCTCACTCACTGTGTAGTCATGAAGGATTTCATGGGGGGTTGGGGGATGCACCTACTCTTAATCAGCATAATCCCAACCTCCCAAATGTAAGAATGTGGAAAGAATTCACCTCTAAACCAATAACTGCAGGGCATTCTCTTAGCTACTATGAATGGTTCAGAGGCAGACACATGACCTAAACTCATCCAGTGGGAGAGCCACCCTAGGCCTTTTGTTTAATGGTTAGAGGTAAGAAAGCAGGCTCTGTTCTTCTGAAAGAGATGTGAATCCTAGAAATTTGAATAAGAAAATTGTAAAGGAACCTTAAGAGCTCTGATCAACAGCCTGTTCTACCTCTGAAGGTTTGCTTATGTCATCCGATGCCTTTTCTTTGTATTGTCAAATTGGGTTTTCTTTTGCTTGAAAATATTATTACGTACCCAGAAGAGTCCTAAGTGTTTAACATATACTGATACATTTAATCTTCACAACCCTGCGAGGCAGTACTTAACATTCCCAGCTGATTTCTTACCCTCAATCTACATCTGAGGTTTCGCGGGGCATCCGATGACCAGTTCATCAGTAAGACAAAGACCAGGCCAGGAGCTCTGCATAATATGTTGGCATGAGCTGAAGCAGATTGCTCCTAATTGATGGGCTCATGTGGAAGTGGCCCTGAAGAAGAGTAGAGTAGTATAACTCCCTAATGGGTACAACCTTGAACAGTACCTCTGATACACTTTTTTCTGAAAGGACAGATATCCTGAGATGAGGATCTACACTGATAACCAGTGAAAACTCATTTGTCTGGCTAGTTGGCATAATGTGCATTAATTGTTTACACTGCCCAGCAGGTGTTCACTGTTAAAAGAGTAATTCCTGACTTTCCTGTAGGAGCCAGTGTTCACTCAAACCAGTCCACAAGGTTGCGTGAGGTTGACTCTACCCCTCAGGATAGACTCTAACTGTGATAAACCCAGGAGAATAATCCTTCCCCTAGGTCACCGGGATTGGTTCATGCAGAGCATGTGACTCAACATGGACTAAAGACTCCGGGTCTGGGACTTATTAGACTAACAGGGGAGAGAGACACTCCTCCCTCTACAGTTGGGATTATGATAATGGACATAAAATCTGAAGCTATTGTGAATATTCTGCCACTATGAGGAAAGAGCCTGAGAATGGATTAACAATAGAACAGAGTAGAACAGAACAGAATCGAGAGAAAGAAACCAGATCCTGGTGACACTTTTAAATCCCTAATCAACACCTGAAGGCAGCTGTATCTCTGGACTTCTTAGTTATTTTAGCTGGTAAATTCCCTTTTTGCTTAAGCCAATATTGGATTGGGTTTTCTGCCTCTTGCAACTGAAAAGAGTCATAAACAATAGTTGGAGATTTGGAAAAGTAGAGGATTGATGACAAAGGTGGTTTGGGGACAGGGTACATGTATGGATTTCTTGGAACGAAGTTAGAGGGTGATATTTGAGTCATGAATGTTCACCCAAAGTCCTCCACTGTGGAATAGGCTATTAATATTCAGGTGGTTATAATGACCTGTTCTGGGTATGATCATCTTCCTCCTCGCCCAGCCAGGCCAGTGTGCTTAATGTGATCATGAACTACATGGCCGAGGCGGCAGAGACAGGAGCCACACATAGGCTCAGCAACTTGCAGTTCCTACTCTTGAGGCTGGTCTGGCTACCACTCCTGCTGGGTGCTCAACCAGCCCTGATATTGACTTCACACCATGTAGGGACCATTCAATTACCTGGGGTCACGGCACTAACACTGAACCCTTTCCATGTAGGATGAGGCAGAAGAGACATTTTCTGAATTAGACCATATTTATTTTCCCATGTGTCACACTCTGCTGCCACTGCCACCATCCACTCACTTTCTACAAGTCTTTTATACCGCCATGGTGCTATAGTTTGGATATTTGACTCTCCAAACCTCATATTGAAATCTGATTCCCAATGTTGGAGGTAGGACCACTGGGAAATGTCTGGGTCACGGTTGTGGAGCCCTCATGAATGGCTTGGTGCTATCTTCAAGGTAATCAGTGAGTTTTCACTCTGTTAGTTCCCACTGGAGTTCCCCTGACAGCTGGTTGTTAAAAAAAAAAAAAACCTTCTCCCTCTCTCTTGGTTCTTCTCTTGCCACATGATCTGCACACACTGGCTCCCATTCCCCTTCCGCCAGGAGTGAAAGCAGCCTGAAGCCCTCACCAGAAGCAGATGCTGCTGCCATGCTTCTTATACAGCTGTCAGAACAATTAGCCAAATGAACCTCTTTTCTTTACAAATTACCCAGCCTCAGGTACTCCTTTATAGCAACACAAATGGGCTAAGACACATGAATTCCTACCCAACATTGCTCCAACTAAGAAACTCACTTCACAGCAAAATTACTGAATTTATCATCAAAACAATGAGATACACACTACACATCTATTAGAAATAGCTAAAATCCAAACGCTGACACCACCAAATCGGTGTTGGTGCTGGTGAGGATGTGGAGCAAGAGGAACTCTCCTTCATTGCTGGTGGGAATGCAAAATGGTATAGCCACTAAGACAGTTTAGCAGTTTCTTACAGAGGTAAACATAGTCTTACCATACGATCCAGCTTAGTGATGGCTGGTATTTTCCCAAATGTTTTATCTTATGTCTACACAAAAACCAGCACATAAATGTATATAACATCTTTATTTGCCAAAATTTTGAAGCAACCAAGATGTCCTTCAATAGGTAAATGGATGAACAAACTGTGGTACATGCATACAAGGGAATATTATTCAATGATAAAAAGATATGAGCTATCAAGCCATGAAAAAACATGGAGAAAACTGAAATGCATTGCCAAGTAAACAAGCCAGTGTGAAAAGGCTACATATTGTATGATTTCAACTACAATACGTGACATTCTAGAAAAGGCAAAACTATGGAGACAGTAAAAAGATTAGTGGTTGCAAGGGGTTTCAGGGGAGGGAGGAAGGCATAAACAGGTGGAACACAGTGCATTTTTAAGGCAGCAAAACTATTCGGTGTGATAATGTGATGTGGATAAGTGACACTATACATTTATCAAAACTCTCAGAATGTATAACACAAAGAGCGAACTGTAAACTAAGGACTTTAGTTAATAATAATGTATCAATATTAGTTTATCAATTATAAGAAATGTACCACACTAATGGAAGCTGTTAATAATACAGATAGGCCCAGCATGATGGCACATACCTGTAATCCTAATACTTTGGGAGGATCCCTTGAGGGCAGGAGTTTGAGTACAGCCTAAGCAAGAGATCCCCATCTCTACAAAATAAGAAAAAAGATAATAGGGAAAATTGGGGAGGGAAGGTGAAGGGGTATAGGGGAACCCTCTGTACTTTCCACTCACTTTTTCTGTAAACCTGAAACTGCTTAAAAAAAAGTCTGTTAAGAAAATATGTTGCAGGCCGGGTGCGGTGGCTCACGCCTGTAATCCTAGCTCTCTGGGAGGCCGAGGCGGGTGCATTGTTTCAGCTCAGGAGTTTGAAACCAGCCTGAGCAAGAGCGAGACCCCGTCTCTACTAAAAACAGAAAGAAATTAATCGGACAACTACTAATATTTTGTAGAAAAAATTAGCCGGGCATGGTGGCGCATGCCTGTAGTCCCAGCTACCTGGGAGGCTGAGGCAGGAGGATCACTTGAGCCCAGGAGTTTGAGGTTGCTGTGAGCTAGGATGATGCCACAGCACTCTAGCCCAGGCAAAAGAGTGAGACTCTTGTCTCAAGAAAAAAAAAAGAAAGAAAATATGTTGCGATGTGAAAACTGAAACCATGTCAGTAAACTTTTTATACTTTTACATTAAAATCCACTAGTGTGAATTCCACTTGGATGGATCTTTTACCCATGCATGATTTTCCAACATTATGCACTGGTCATTCAGAACATATTGGACTATGAGTTATGCAG